GTTCCTCTGTATCTCTGCTGGATTTCTTTCTAGCTGTTCTGTCCTTTATCAAAAGTGATGCATTATAATCTCCTACTATTACTGTAGAGATATCTATTTCTTTAATTCTATTAGAGTTTGATTTATGTATTTTAAGGCTGTCATTGGGAGCATAGATATTATAGTTACGTCCTCTTTAGTCATAAGAAAATATCCTTTGTCTCATATCAGTTTTTATCTTAAAGTCTATTAGAAATTAATATTGCCACTCCTGCGTATTTTTGATAGCCACTAACTTGATATTTTTCTATTCTTTGATTTTTAATCTATTTTTGTTGTGTGAGGTGTACCATTTTAGACAGCATATTGAAAGATCCTGTTTTCTTATCCATTCTGCTACTCTTTGTCTCTTGACTGGTACATTTAATTCATTGACATTCAGTATACTTAACCATAGGTATGAATTGATGGGAGGCCTGGTGTGGCGCTGTGGGTTAATGTGCCAGACTGCAAAGCCGTTTGAACTGCAAGGTTGGAGGTTCAAGCTCACCAGCTGGTCCTTGAAAACCCTATACAGGGTCACTATGGGTTGGAACTGACCCGACAGCACTTCACAACAACAATGAATTGATTGCAGTCATTTTGCTGCGTTTTTTAAAACTTTTTAATGTGAACTGAGTGAAGGTTTATAGACAAAATCATCAGCTTTACATTCAACAAATCATACTTTATCATATCTCGATGATTAAGATCCCCTCCCTGCCATGTGTGTTTTGTGGTGCTGTTGTTTTCTTTGTTCCATGTATTTTTCTGTGCTGAGTTCATTCTGTTTGTGCTTTCTTGTCAATTTCTTCACTGGCGTAGTTTTAATGTTGACAAAACCTTCATGGTTTTCTCTTTTCTTGACTTGATGTGAAGCTGTATTGTCTTTGAAGTTATACTGTAATTTATTAATTTATTCCCATTTTAAAAGCCTGTTTTATCTTGAAATCTTGACTTCCTTGCCATTTGCAAACTGTATAACTATACTTTCCCCTCTTCTTGTTTTGTCATTATAAATTGTTATCTGTGATTCCTTATTTTAAGTCTTGTAGGATTGTTTTGGAGTCCTGGTGTGGTGCTGTGGGTTAATGTGCTGGACTGCAAAGTCGGTTTGAACTACAAGGTTGGCAGTTCAAGCTCACCAGCTGCTCCACAGAAACACTATACAGGGTTATGTCGGTTGGAACTGACTTGATGGCACTTAGCAACAAAGCAATAAGGCTTGTTTTAAGGAGCTCTGGTAGCATAGTGGTTATGAGTCAGACTGCTAACCTCAAGGTCAGCAGTTCAAAACTACCAACTGTTTCGCAGGAGAAAGATGAAGCTTTCTGCTCCTGTTAAGATTTACAGCCTCGGAAACTCTACACAGGGTCACTACAAGTTGGAGCCGACTCCACAGCAGACAACCACCAACTATTGTTGAGACAAGCTGTCTGCAGCCATCCACTGATTGCAGACATATTTAAACATGTTTTGTTTGGAATGAGCTTGTGCATGTATGAACTGTAACCCTAGTAGCAATACTTTGTGACCTACCCTTTTATGATAGCATTTACTAACAACATTCTTTATTCTGATGTAGTGCTTAGTGACACATCATTTATCTTAGTCATATTGTACACACTTCACATTTAGTGTTACTTTTCCCATTACCAAAGGTAACAAATATCTGCTCTCCAGTTAATACCTCCCCTTCCTGGTAACCAACAACCAATTGACTTTAGTGGTTGTGTGTCTTCCTATACAAGTGAGATCATGTCATGTTTGTATTTTTGTGATAGAATAACTTCACTTAGCATCACGTTCTCCAGATTCATCCACACTGCTGAGAATTCCTGATAGGGCTGCATAGTATTCCATTGTGTGTATGCACCATATTTTATCCATTCATTTGTTGATGGGTACTTAGGTTGCTTAGTCTTTTTGCTATCTTGGAGGTTGATCATTTTTATGTGTATTGACCATTTAGATCATCCTATCTCCTGCTCTTTCTACTCCAGGACCATTTTAATCTGCTTCCTGAGATAACAGGAAGAGGAAGACGTTAGTTAACTGGCTCCCTACGTGACCATGCATGACAGGTCCACTGGCTCTACCTGTAATAGCCAATGATAGGCATTTAAGTACCTCCACTACTCCAGGCCTTGTGCTATTAGAAACTGTGGGGCAGCTGAGGTGAGGAACCTTCATTATCCAGAAATGGTGAAAGATAAGCATCTCCACAGTAATTCTCAGTCTTGCTCCAGAGAAAATGCAGAGTACTAGGGGAGCACGGTAGAGAATCCAGAGGCTATCCCGAATGAATGACCTCTAAGGACGACAAATAGAAGTGACAAGTGGAAGCAAAGGTTGCCCAGCAGGAAGGGGCTGAGAGGGGACTAGGAAGGCAGTCTAGGCTGTGAAGCCCTGGCTACAGCGTAGAAGTAAACTAGCAGTGGGACCAGTAAGGTACAGCATTGATATCTCAGGTAAGGTCTTTAGGAACCACGCAGGCTGCGTTGCTTCAATGGCAAGAATGAGTCTTAAGAACTGAGAGAGACAGTAGCTCTGAATGCTCCCATTTGTCACAGGTGAATGCGAGGCAGTTGGCAAGGTAACAAAGAGGCTGGGCCTGTGGGCTTCAGACACTTGCTGCGGCACTAACTCCTCACACCTGGGCCTGTTTCTCTGTGAGTAAGCAAGGAGCACCTTCCTTAGAGGGTTGTGTTCCGTGAATGAAGTCAGTGTGTGAGCACAGTGCCTAGCTCATGGTCCCGTCAGCACTGTGATTACTGAAGGCAAACGATCTTCTGGAAGGATCTTTAACACAGAGCAGGAGTTCCTGCTAACTATTGGTGCATAAAAATGAAGTGCATATGAATGAATAACCCAAACATGACACTCACCTTTTATGTAAATATTTCTTGAATGCAAACTACGTGCCTGGTCCTGGGGATGACTGTGAACTCATTTATACCCTAGAAACTGCTCAGTGCAGGGAGGAAGTGGGCTTAACAGACCCTCCTCACAGTCCACTGCGGAAAACTGCAGAGATGTGCAGTGTTGGAACTGGCAGGATGGAGTTTGGTGGTACTGCCACCCCAGAGACCAAGGCTGATGAGCCAAATCAGGACAAGATGCAAACTGAATCTGAAGAGCCAATGTGTCTCTAAACTGTAAACCTCCGCAGATGTCAACAATCAAGCCAACAGCAGCACTGATCCGGACTCAGCAGCCGGTTCTTAGAATCTTCCATATGAAACCTGTCCTGACGTCTAGTCAACAAGGAGCCCTGGTAGCGCAGTGGGTTATGCGTTGGGCTGCTAACTGCAAAGTCAGCAGTTTGAGTCCAACAGCTGCTCTTTGGGAGAAAGTTGAGGCTTTCTGCTCCCATAAAGATTTATAGCCTCAGAAACATGATACGGGGTCGCTATGAGACGGACTCGACCTGACAGCACAGAACCTCCAACCCCCATTCAACATCATGCAAAGAATCCCAAGACATCACTCAGACACAAGGGACACAGGACAGATATTAATACCCTTTAATGATTCACATTGTTTTCTTTTCCCCTCAGAAGATTGATAACATGGAATTTAGTACGGGTTTCAGTACATTGGGCAGTTACAGAATCTAAACAGGAGAAGTCTACAAAGTCTAATCTTTCTTGTGGGGTAGAACAATCCATTTCTAAAAAGAGAAAAATCACAACATGATTAGGCACAACCATTTCAAAACTGCCTATTGTTCTAATTTCAGAGATTGGCAGACAGAGGGGGAATTAACAGCAAAAAAGTAACTATTACAAAAACTTATCACAGTCAACTACCCTCTCTCTGTTTCCTGTCCTGTGTTCTTTGCATAACCAGATGGGAGGCAAGGCGAGGCGAGGAGAGGCGAGGCAGTGCAGGGCCCTGTGGGCAGGGGTAGGTGTTCTGCTGACTGGGCCAGGCAGGTGCAGGCCTTCCCTGAGGTGGCCCAGAAATGCACTCTGAAAAGCTGCTCGGTGTCACAGAGGAAGATTCCAAGTGGTGGGGAGGGGGTGGACAAAGAGCAACACATAGTGCTGGTGGGCAGCCTGGTGTTCATGGCACTTTCAAACCTCAGCCTGCACAGTAAGAAGCAGCTGCCGAAATTTATCCTCAGCCAGCACATTTACACACTTACATAACCAAGGAGCTAACACCATTCTACAAGAATTCAAGTTGGAATGCCAACAAAGCATAAACACGCCTTCCAAAATCCAACCAGGCATAGTTGTTCTTTCAACAGAGAAAGTCAAAACCATTTGGTTTTTAAATGAAAATCCTTCACATCCACCTGTGTTCAAAAATAATAATAATAATAACTTATGATATTAATAGCTTCCTTTAAAAAGCAATGACCACAAAAGAAGAACTCCTAAGTGTGGGGAGATCTGTTTTCATATGAATTTCCTTCTCAGGGAGGGACAGACCCATGACACTCATGAAAAATAAAGACGTGACGCTATGTAAATTTAGTTCAAAGCTAAAGCTACCAAAAAAAATTTTTTTAAAGGTTTACACAAACAAGTAAAGTGTTTTCTATTGCAAAAGGCCTCAGGTCACCCAGACGAACATAAGAGATGCTAAATAAGGTAAGAACATTTACTGTTTCCCCCTGCATCTGCCTCCATGGTAAGGGTGGAAATCACAATACTCTACAACCAAGTTACATGTTTACATGTTTTGTGATAATCTGCAGTGAGTACTACTTCAAAGAGACTGGCCAAATGGACAGCTCCCTTCTGAAACAGAATTGAAAATATAAAATGCCAGTGAGGCACCTGTGGCAGATTTGGCCAAGGTCATCCCTACACTGATCGTTCAGGACACACAGCTTACAAAGACAGACACTGCAAAGCAGGTGTGTGAAGTACAATAGTCCAGCTGAATCCTCTGGAGTACAGAGGAGGATAGAGCCCCTCTGTGTAGCCTCATACCATGCAACAAGACATTTGATTTGGATGCTCTAGTCCTGACTTGCTTCTGGACAACCTGTTTCATCTCTAGTATCATTAACACCATGGAGGAAAATATAATCAACATAGAAAGCTTGACACTGAGAATAGAGAAAACCCACAAAGGAAAGGTCATGCTAAAACTGACTAGACAGTTGTTCCACCACTGCCCACCACGTGGGCTTCAGGACAGTGATTTCATGGACGCATCCTTGATGCACTGCCAAGGGTCAGCTTCAAGTCCATTATAGTGACCCCAGTGTGATGCTGACTGCCTTCTGTTCACCTCCTACCCAGGAGATCTAAGCAAGCCTCAGGTGGTAAGCACAGGACACACAGGTGCGTGAGCCTGAGGACCTTCCGAGAACTCTGCCTTAGATTTGGGTAAGGGAAGAGATGAGTGGTGTGAGGTTTTGGCAGCAGCACCCCCACTGGGGCTTAACCTCAGCAGCCAGCCTGGAGAATGTTCCCGCCAGAGCGCTTGGTCACTGAGAGCGTTGTAAACACCTGCAAGGGAGGAGAAAGGACACTGTCAGAAGCCAAGTTAACAGGGAGCACTTCAGATAACATATTAGGGATGACTCAGGCAGCTCCTTCAATAAGCAGGAGAAATAGGACAAAACAAAACCTCCATGTCTCCAGTGAATAGAAAGGGAATGTATTTTAAAACCAAGGAGAAAAGAGGAGGGAGGGGACTAAGTTAGATTATAGCTAATAAAGACTTCTGTTAGCATGTCCACTTTCTAAAAGAAATTCATCATAAAATAGTTAGGACATATAAAAAACACTCAAGGAGCATTATGTGGCTAGAGCTCAGGTGTGCCTTCCCAGACCCCTTGGCTTCCTGTCCCTCCTCCTCACTGAGGCTTACTGTTCCTTCCTATGCTCTGCTCGGAAACAGCAAGACAGTGTGGGGACTCTTCTGCTACAGCTCTGCCACAATTGTGATCCAGTCATTTTTCACCAACTAGTACCCTCCTGGTGTGGCATTTTAGAATCAGTACTGGACTGCAACCACAAGGTCGGCAGTTCAAACCTACCAGCTGCTCCCAGGAAACCCAACACAGCGTCCATATGGACCACACCCTAGAAACCAAACCTGCTGCCATTACGCCGATTCCGACTCCCAGTACTCTAAATAGGGCTTCTTGTGGAGTGGCTGGTGGGTTTGATGAATTGCCCACCTTGTGGCTAACAGCCCAACACACAACCCACAATGGCACGAGGGGCTCCTGACTATGCCCTATGGAACACAGTATATTTGGAGTCCCTGTGTGGGATGAACAGTTAACCAAAAGGCTGGCAGTTCAAGCCCATCCAGAGGCACCATGAGAAAGTGACCTGGTCGGTTACTTCTAGAAAGTCGCCATTGAAAGAAAGCCCTATGGAACTCAGTGCTTCTCTGACACATGTGAGGACACCATGATCTGGAACGGACTCAATGGCAACTGGTTTACAGTATACGAGAGAGTTTCAAAACGGTGGTGGAAAACTGGAATTAAAAGATAATGGGATTTTTCTATGAACTTTTTGTAGCCCCCTTGTAGATACTAATACTATAGTCAGTTATTCAAATCCTAAGTATATTGTGAATTATATATCCAAGCTTCTTTTGCTGGACATGCAGGATATTATCAATAGTTTATAAAGATCTTCTACTATTTTTTAAAACAAATATGTCACTTTGCAGAGTAAGGTGCACCTGACTCAAGCCAAGGTATTTTCAATTGCCTCCTTTGTGTATAAAAACTAGATAATGATAAAGGAAGACCAAAGAATCAGCACATCCAAATTGTGGTATTAGCAAAGAATACTGATTTCCAGAATGAATGATCATATTTGTCTTGGAGGAAGCATAGCTGGAATGCTCCTTAAAAATGGGAAGGCGAGACTTGGTCTCATAAACTTTGGATTTGTTATCAGGAAGGACCAGTCCCTGGAGATGGACATCATGCTTGGTAGAGAGTCAGAGAAAAAGAGTACTCTTAATGAGAAAGACTGGCCCAGTGGTTGCAACAAAGGACTCAAATATAACAGCGATTGTGAGGATATCACAGCACCAGGTCATGATTCATTCTATTACACATTGGGTCACTGAGTCAGAACCAACTCGATGACATGTTTAACAACAACAGTCCAGGCACTGTGGTATATTTTCTTGCACACATAGAGCTAGAAGCATTAACTACGAAGTTGAAGGGTGGGTGTCAGTTCTAACTGATGCGCTCTCATTGGCAGTCATTAAGGAGCTCTTCTTGTTTCACCTCCTTGCAAGCATGTGGTGGTGGTGGACCGTTAGAACTCTCACAGTGTCAGACGGCTTCTCTTTGTTCCTGCTCAAGTCTACCTATGAATAAAAATCAAGGGCTCTCAAACATCGGGTCACACTGACTACACAGGTGGAAATTACACTGAACTTAATTTGGAGATCTAGGATCGGAGCCAGGTGATTCTAAGGCAGGCTGTCTACAGACCACATATTGGCATTGCTTGATGGAAGCAGTGAAGGTAATGCATTGTCCAGTCCTGAATGGTAAAGTATACATCAAGCACTATCTTTGTAGTTTTACCAAATAGGAAACCTACAGTCAAGATTTTAAAGATTAATACTCCTACACACACAAAAAAAGAAGCACAGATTTTCATTTTTGGCCATGATAGAGTAATTGGGTACCAAACCAGCTCTCTTCCCTCTTACACCATCAGAAAACTAGACAAACTACACAACACAATGGGGACTAGGCAGCAGCAGAGTGTGATTCCCCCAGAAAGGGAAACAAACAAGGCGAGCCTTCCTCAGGCTTAGTCTCTACCTGGAGGCCTTCACCAGACCCTGGGTAAACGGAGGGGGACTCCAGAGAGCCAGATATGTCACCAACTACAAGAGAAAGACTGGAGGTGAGGGGTGCTGAGGGGACAAGAACTTGTGGGGCAGAATACCTGAGCGGAGGGTGCTGTCCAGAAGACAGGCCTTCAGAGCTCTGCATACAGGCCCCAGGGATGTCAGGGACAGACCATCTCAGGAGTTGTAGGCTCAACCTACCACCAGAACTCAAAGCTGGTGAAGCAGCTGGAATCCAAGGTCTCAGTGAGTCCGCCCCCACCCCCACCCCCACCCCGGGCATTCAGTGGATCTCCCAGGAGCACATGTCTTAGTAGGCGGGCTATGTAGAACCAACTGTAACGATTTTACTAGACCAGCCTAACAAAACTTACAAACAAGTCTCCAAAGAATACCACCGAGCCACAAGGAAATGAACTGCCTGTCCCAAGAAAGCATGCAGTATTCTTACAAGACAACCACAAAATCCAGGCCTCCTCAAGTGATGATCTTACGAGATGAAAGGTCATGGGTAATTTGGGAAAAGTCCCACAGTGTCTGCCTGGAAACCTCTTTGGTCAGCTGCCTTCTCTTTTGATCCTTGAGAAACAAATGGGCTCCTGGTTTTTAATAATACAAAGAGTAAAGAACACACGATTTCAAGGCAAAAGGAACAGGAACCAGCAGCCAAAATACTTTTGAATATAAGAGTTTGTGTGAAGGGAAAAAAAACTGAGAACAGCCTTTGGTCTGTTTTAGCCTCAGAGCAGTACTAACACCTTTGTCTTCCTACAGATACTAGCAGCCTCTCCAAAAATGCAGACCCAAGTACTAACAGTTCATATTGCCTAATATTTAAAATACGAGCCCAAATGAAAATATGGACAACTCAGGTTTAAAAAAAAAAAAAATTATCAAGGCCCACTGTTGATAGCAAAGATAGTAAAATTTGTGATAGTCATCCCTTTTATACATACTGTAGAAAAAAAATCATTTACACTAAATTTTGAAACATTTTCATTAGCACTGTTAAATTCAATGTTGATGACTGCAAACAAGTGCAACTCTTCTGAAGAGAATAAAATGCCTTTGTTCAAAGTCTGCGTGACTGTGGAAGAGGAGGATGGGGAGACAGTGCACAGTAATGAAAACAGCTGACGTAGGGTGAAGGGCTCACGACCACTGAAATTATCATCAGATCTGCTTTCTTTTCAGGTTTTAAAAAGGAAGAGAAATAAGTCAGGGAATAGCTTTAAACAAATTTCAGGTGTGTGAGCAAGCAAGCTTAAGTTCTGTCTCAGGAATTAATTTAGAAATAGGACTTATATGCGATTTCAATAAAAAAACAAACACCCTAAACCCATCGTAAAGGAAAGTAGGTAAAAGAGGTGTTACCCATTTGTCCTGTGCTGATGACACATTTATTAAAAGTTGGGGGAAGCCAAGTCACCACTATTAAACCCACCCACTCCCACAGTCGATTCTGACGCACAGCAACCTGTACAGAGTTTTCGAGGCTGTAAATCATTACTGGGACAGAAAGCCTCATCTCCTTCCCAAGGAGTGGCTGCTGTGTTTGAAACACCGAACTTGTGATTAGCAGTTGAGTGCTTATCCTACAGTGCGGTCAGGGCTCCTTGCCACTATTCATCGATTGAAACAGAAACATTGACAGGGAGGTCTATGTGTACAACAGGCTCAGTTAGACACAGTTGCTTCAGAATTTTCATACAATTTCATTTTTTAAAAAAACTGAGCATGGAGGCTGCTTCACCTTCTCTCGCCCAACACACAGGGACCCACAGAGGTCAATGCTGCCGAAATTTCCATCATGTGTGCATTCATCCCTGCTCCCTCCCAACACCATCCAGCCTCACAAGACATCCTTCCCTGAGACTCTACTGACTCATAAAACAAATAGTCGGCACTAGACATTCATTTGAAACATTGCAAAGGGCCCTTTTTAAAATGCTTTTTCCTCTTGAGCTATTATTTTTCCCCTACAAATAAACTTGAGTAGTTGTAATTGCTATTCAAAATTACATGCAATCAGTCTCCTATTCAATTACTGCTGCTTTGATGTCCAGAATAAATTAGCACTGTACCATCTTAACGCTGGATAATGTTAATGTATTACTAGTGCTCCGGGAGTTCACATTCCTTCTCCTAGCAACGCCATAGGGAGCTTCAGTTACAACAAGAACAACTGCAGAAGGAAACCCTTTGGAAATGATTTTGTTCCAAAGAACAAACTAAGGGATTTCTCAACTTTCATGTGTAATTAACTCCTCAGAGTCACAGATTGCTCTCAACAGCCCAAGTCATTTACAAACACATGAAAGTACTCATTCCATGAGCTAGTCCACAAACCAAGCCCTGCAGGCCCAGGAGCCAGAGCCATTTCTCAACGGTTTAAAGCAGTGCTCAGGAGCATTCTGAAATTATCATTATTTTTTCTAAACTATCCAGGAGGCAAACACTGGAATTCATTACATGTTTCATAAAATTTGAAAAAGCATGCAAATACAACCCTAACTTTTTACTAGTTGACCAGATATTGTCAGTTTGCTCTTAAAGCTTCTGTCTTTCTTCTTCACTCAGCTATCTCATTCCAGACCAAGCCCAGAGGGTGCACAGCCAGCAGCTCCCTTCTCTAGTATGCGGCAGATAGTTCAATACAGAAGGCCAGCAGCAAATCTAATTACCATCCAAGTCAGAATCGAGCATTTAACACATAGATGAGAGTCCTTAAATAATCCTTAACAGAAAAGCAAATGGAAACTACCATGACAACGGTATCCTTTAACCTCCAATAAGACAGCTAGGATGAAAACATTTTAAAAAGAAAACAACACGTGTTGACAAGGCTGTGGAGAAACGGGAACCCTTACTCACCGCTGGTGGTACGGTCACTGTGGAAAAGTTTGGTGGGTTCTCCGATAATTACACACACAATTACTAACTATCTAGCAGTTGTGCTCCTAAGTGTGTACCCCCAAGAACTGAAATCAGCACCACAAACAGCTCCAAGGGCACCAGTGCGCATGGTGGCAACTCTTCCCAATGGCTCAAAGGTAGGTGGGGAAAGCCTAAATGTCCATCAATAAACACGCAAAATATGGGATATACTCACAATGACTTCCTGTTACTCAGAGTGGTGCTGAAACATAAGCCTAGGACAGCTAACTGCAAGGTCAGAGGTTCAAATACACCAGCCGCTTCTCGGAAACCATACATAGGGTCAGCTACGAGTCGGAACCGAATCAACGGCACTTAACAACAACAACGTTTTCAAGGTTCGTCGATGTTATAGCATGCATCAGAACAATAAAGAAAAAAGAAGTTCTGTCCCTGTGGTTCAAACCAACCTTGTAATCTAGTGCTTTATCTGACACTGCCACATTGGTGGTGGTGGTTATGTGCCATGGAGTCAGTTCCAACTCATAGCGACCCTGTACAGGGTTTCCGAGGCTGTAAATCTTTACAGGAGCAGAGAGCCTTAGAGACCCCATACAGGGTTACTATGGGTCGGAACCTACTCAATAGCACTTAACAACAACAACAACAACAGAGTTTAGAGTGGGGCAAAAAATTATGCTGGAGAAATAATGTGGGAAGGCCATGGGATGGAACTTCATGCTTGGGACACTGGGCAGTGTCATGCAGCGGAGTGACAGGGTCAGACCCATGGCCCAAAGTGACAAGTGGTTACAGTGGGGAAAGGGACTGCGTCTGTGGTGTTACCTTGATAAGAACAGCGAGGGTTGGTGGCAGACTGTGCTGCTGTCGTGGCAGTGGGAATTGTGAGGGGAAGAGATAACTGGTTACAGTGGGGAAAAGGGACCGCAGGAAACACCCTTGGCAATACCTGCTGCCTGACAAGAACCAGGAAGAACTATACAGGTTGCTGCCATTTGTGATTTGATGTCAGAGGTGGGAAGAGCAGTGAGAGGAACAGCAATGGCAGCCGTGCCCAAGTGTTCGAGGACTGACTGTGTGCCAGGCAGTTCACCGTTCCATGAAGAAGGTGGAAGCACTGTCTCCAAGGAGACACTGGTGAGCTTGAACCGCTGACTTTGCAGTCCAGCCCGTTAACCCACAGTGCTGCACCAGGACTCCTGAACTCCGAAAGCAGCAGCAATACTAAAGGTCTTTTAGTTCCGTGAATAAGCCATGCTTCCTCGGGAATTACCGTGCCCCAATAACCACTTCCCCCACACTGTGGAGGCGTCACCCCTCGGAAGTGGAGTTAGCACTTCACTCAGCAGCCTCCTCTGTTCTGGGCTCCTATCTAACTACTGTTGAATCCCCAGCATCTAGCACAGTGCTGTGCACCTACACACATGTCCCTGGAGTGAGGTGATACCACCCATTGAAAGAAGGCTCATTCACCAGCCACAGAGAGGAGGGGAAAGGCTATTGTCAAAGTGCTGGGACAATTAGCCCCGGAGGTCCAGTGTCACAGAGGACTTGCAGATGGGGAAGCATGGCAGTAAATCCTTAAAAAGGGGGGCCCAGCTACACGGGTCTACCAAGAGACTAGGCCTGTGGCTGTCCTGCCTCCCCACTACACCTTTCCACCCAGTTGGAGCCATCCACTGCCATGGTACCACAACTCCCAGGAGAGGGGTCGAGAAAAGCATGGGGCCATAGTTCACGTCAGTCTGCTCAGGAGAGTGGAGTTCACACAGAGAACTAGACACTCTGCTGTGCAGGCTGGGCATCACCTGTCCACCCCTCCCCACCGGGCTGGCCACTGCAGCCTACACACACCTCGGGCTGCAGCTACATTTTAAAAGTACTCAGTAAGTATTTCTGACCAAAAAAATAAAGTTAACTGACTCCTTTCCCTTGACAGGTGGCTTCAGTCATTACAGTGAAGAAAAATACCAAATAATCTTGACGGGCTGTAATCTAGACCCTTTTCCATTTGATTTTTGACACTTCATTTTATTTCATTCCCAGACACAGTATTTACGAATGATGCTTTAATCTTTAAACACATTAACATTGTATGATTCTCCCCAGCCAGGTGTATATTCATATGGTGGTGGTGATGTGCTGTGGAGTCTGTTCTGACTCATAGCGACCCTGCACAGGGTTTCTGACGCTATAAATCTTTACAGGAGCAGAAAGCCTCATCTTTCTCCCGTGGAACAGCTGGTAGTTTCAAACTTCTGGCTTTGAGGTTTAGTAGCCCAACTCGTAACCACTATGCTACCAGCACTTCTTGTATATTCGTATTCAGAAGGACAATATTCAATTGTAGGGAAGGCAGAGACTCAGCCAAGAACCAGTTGCACAAGGGCAGTCAAAAGCAGAGATCAACCAGTTAACAGGCTACTCAGTGAGAAGTGGCATGGATGTAGCCCATGCATGTGTGTTTGCCGGCACAAAGTGCATTCCTGAACTACTGAGTATGGTGATTAGATAATGTCTGGAATGCGTAACTCCATCTAAGCTGGTATACTAGAAGGCCTCGTGGTGATATAAGGTGAGTAAAGGACTGTGAACCACAAGGTCAGCAGTTCAAACCCACCAGCTGCTCCACGGGATAGAGATGAGGCTTCCTACTCCCGTAAAGATTTACAGCTTCAGAAACCCTATAAATCAGAATCAACTCAGCGGCAGTGGGTGGGAAGCTGTCATAATGCAAGACGCCTCCTCCCAACCTTCACCAAGTTCTTCCATGTCGGCTCACTTTTTGTTTACCATGGCAGGAGAAAGATGAGGCTTTCTGTTTCCAAGATTTACAGACTTGGAAATCCTACATAGGATTGCTGAGTCAGAACTGACTCGACAGCACTTAAAAACTACAAGGTAGTATGAGAGTCAACTCTCAGATGCTCATTGATAAGTGTGCAGGAACAATGACACCCAGAGGCTTAGACTGATCAATTTCTAGCTCTCTTGTCATTGGATTGATCTTTTAAAAGCATCACTTTCAAATCTCGTGCTTTGATACCAAAAGCTAAGGAGGCATACAACATCATTTTGCCTCAAGGTGGCTCAGGGAGAACTGGGATTAAAGTTCTTTCCAGACACGAATGGCATTATTAACAGACAGGAAAATAATTGAGATGTGATAAATAGAAGATTTGAAGAATCTCTCTATAAATCATCCTTATGCTTTTGACCAGTTCACAGCAGAAGCAGTAAGTATTTAAAGGAGGAAGAATTATTTCTAGAGACAAGACCTACTTGCAGTTAATAACCTGAAAGAAATTCCGAAGTAGCTTGAGCCAAGCAGGAAGGACACATGATTTCAAGTCCCAGGTCTGCCACTCAGATGCGTGTCTATGAAAGTGTTGGCCACCCACCTCTGCACAGACGGGATGGATGCCGATTGTGCTGTCCAGCTGGTTTTTGGTCAGTCCACACTTCAGTGCAGCAGCAAAGCCCTGTGTAACTTCTCCAGCATTTGGACCCAACACGTGGAAGCCCACAACACGTTCCTAAAGTGAAGAATAAAGTAATACAACTCAGCTGAATTGCTTTCTTCTTTTCTGCCTATGCAACCTAGAAGTACACTTCCTCATTCTTTTCCAAAAAACTCAAGCAGCCAAAGGCTTATATATTAGAAAGTGGTTAGGTAGAAGATCCATCACATGGACCAGTACAAAGAGCTTGGTACCCCATCAAGTAGGAAGGCAGAGACAAGTGCTCATGAGGAAAAAATGACAACCAAAAATATTCGCCACATAAGAATTCCAGGTGAGTGCTACTGACAGACAGTCATGTCCTAATGTCTCTATAGCTTTCTCTACACTCCATATGGAGACCTGGTGTGGTGCTGTGAGTTAATGAGCTGGGCAGCAAAATCGGTTTGAACTACAAGGTTGGTGGTTCAATCTTAGCAGCACTCCTCAGAAACCCTATACAGGGTTGCTATGGGTCGTAACCGACTTGATGGCCACTTAACAACAAAACAACATACTCGATATGTGGTGCTCTGGGATACAGCACTGGACCACAAGGTTGGTTTGAACCACCAGCTAGCTGCTCCTTGGAAACCCTACACAGGGTTGCTATGAGTCAAGACCGACTCAATGGCACTTAACAACAACAACACTCCATATAAACTATTAGCAACAATTCTAAGAGCAGTCACATGTTAACACTTCATTAAAGTCTTGGTTACAAAGAAACTTAGAGCATGTGTATGTGCATACTGTGTTCCGAGTTATAATATGAAATGTAAATCTCTTGTATAAGCAAGCAGACAGAAAAGTTAGAAAAACATCAATTTAATTCAGTGCTGCATTTTGTAGGTAAGGAAAGACACTCTAGAAGGTCAAGGAGTTTGCCACACATAGGCCTTCTGTTACCAAGTGTCACATGTAGCAGCAGGCAATGAAATCGTAAAAACCCAATTAACAGCTCTTTCCATTACAGCTCTCTCATGAGAGCCAACTGCTTAGGATGCAAACTTGCATTACTCCTGCTCCTTTTTGTTGCTGGTTATTTTTAGATAGTGGATGATGACTTCATTGTTCTCCTTTTTATAAGCACAAACATATAAGGTTCCGTTGGTTCATCTGCTCCCTAAGTGTGGCCTGCCTGCCTACTGTGTATAAGGCCGTGAGCCAGTGAAGGTGAGAAGAGACAACAGCAGGGTCCTCTGATCCTTTCTGTGCAGCTGGGGGGATGGGTAAAATACTAAAGGAATACAGGGTGGATTATGTATTGACAACAAAGCTACATGATTTTATTAAAAACAAAATGAAATCGTTAGAAGGTATTAAATGGGAAGTACACTTACATTGTCTTTGATGTTACAGACTATTTTTGCATAACATTTGTTGTTATCTCTGGATGGAATTGTCCACTCCAATGGCCAGAAGTAACTGTGGTAAACCTAAGGAGACAGAAGCACGTTCATCCTCATTATTTCAGCACCAGGTTTATTAAACATTAACTGTGGTACAAAATCAATGGAGGCTTTTATTTTTATTAATTATTAGACTGTCAGTGAACGATAACTATCACAGATTAAACAGGAATTTGGTCAGAAATTAAATGGCTTTGAACTCCATTTTTGAGGCGCTTTCTCTATAAACTCATTCCCAACTTCCAAAGAAGAAACTTCAAGCCATAATAGCAACAACAAAGAGCAATCGATGAGAAAGGAGTCACACAGACACTTGCTGTCTTGAATTAAAATCCAACAGCACTGTCTTGTTTCCTTATAGGAAAGACAATTTGGGCAGGCAACAAGTGAGGTGCTAGAAACAATTACAGCAATCATCTAGTTCTTCTTAATGCTTTCTAAAGATGTCTTTATTCCCTAGAAGCATGAAAATGTTTATTAAGACAAGAAGGAAAGGAGGGAAAAACAGAAAGAAAATGAAGGAAAGGCAGAAAGCAAAGTTCTGGGCAACAAAAGGGCTCCCTTGCCCCAACTAACACCACTAGCCTCAGTTCAAAACACACAGAGTTGGCTACCTTTTAAAAACCCTGATTATGACATAATAAGTGTTTTTATGTTGCAGTACAATGTGAATTTTTTAAAAACGTGTGTTACAGAACTGAATGCATAGATCACATCTAGTATAGAGGGAAAACATGATTACAGGAATCACCTCACACTGCTAACAACTATTATGTTACAGAAACGCTTATGACTATTTGTTTCCTATTCACATTTGCTGTTCAAAATGTCTTCAACTTATCTCAATACTTTTATATTGAAAAAAGCAAACTGTAACATGATAAAAGTCAATTGTTTATCAAGAACTACAGCAATGTAAAGGGAGAGAGGCTTTAAGAAGTTCATGGGAAATTTTCATGATCTTTTAATCCTATTTTTCCATGAACTTTCTGAAGCCACCTGACATGAAAAACCTTATAATTTAAATATCTTTTTGACAGGAATCTATACTCAGAAAAGAATTATCACAAAGATGTTCATCATTCTATTTATAATAGTGGGGAACTGGAAAAAATCTAATGAAAGAACACCTTAAAAAATAAAGTACAGCAATCCTAAGAACTTCTAGTCTTTTTCTTTGTAAATGGTGTTTTACAGAATTAAAGGAAAAGGGGAAATGCTCATGACATAAAATTGATTATAAAGTTGCGGACAGAAAACTGCATGTAACTTAAGTCACAATTTAAAAAAGCATGTATGTATTTATACAAAGTTAGATACACACATATACATACAGCTAAGTCCCTGGGTTATGAACCTCGAACTTGCAGACAATGCCTACTTCTATTTGCCCTTTGTTGTTGCTCTTGTTACGTGCCTTCAAGATGGTAACAACTTGGTGTGCTATATAGGGTTCCAAGGCTGGAGCGGGAGCCGCCAGTCTCATCTAGCTTTCTCTGAACTTGCCCTTTAATGTTACGTGAATTTGCCCTGACTTCTAGAAGACTGAACCAAGCTCAACTCCAACAAATTCCTCATCACAATCACCTTCACTTGCTGCACGCGTGCAGCTTTTACACCAGAGGACAAACTCTAGGCTTTTTCTTGCACTAAGGTAAGGTTAAGTAAGAGCCATATGCACAGGGTATGACTTAAACCTCTAAATTCATAAAAGATAAACTCAGAATTGGATCTTGTTAGTAAATCAAGGACTACCTGGTGTAATATTATTTATGCTTATAAACACAGTGTATTTCACATGCATCTTCCTTCATTACATAAAAGGTAAATGGCAAAATTGATGTCAAGTATGGATTGATGCTAGAAAAAGAACAGGTACTACTATTGGTTAGGCAGTGGACCTTTAGTCCATTTTTAATTCTCTTCTTTGTATGTTCCTGTATTTTTCATATTTCCAACAACACTGTTTCAATACTAAAAAGAAACCACTATCTGTGGTTTTAAAAAGTAAAAGGAGGGGGAGTAGTTAATCTTACATTCCAGTAACAGAGGACCCTAGGACCATCAAGGGAGACGAGCAAGAGCAGAATGTGGATCCCTGTCTAGAAAAGCAGGGACACCAGAGATGGAGGCAGAGATGAGGACATGGAGAGAGGGAGCAGCTGAGGACTCTAGATTCATGGAAGGAGAGGGACTGGGTGCTGGTGGCCAGCAGGCAGGCTTGCGGAAGGTGCCCTTTGGTGGTTTAAATTATTATATATGCCAGCTGTGAAATGTCGTTGAGTCGGTTCCGACCCATAGCGACCCTGTATAGGGTTTTCCAAGGAGCAGCTGGTGAGCTTGAACTGCCGATCTTACAGTTCAAATGGCTTTGAAGTCTGGCGCATTAACCCACAGCGCCACACCAGGACTCCATATTATATATTCCTAAGTGTTCCAAAAAAAAAAGAGCTAAAGTGAATAGAGAGAAATACTGTTATCTGATGATACATGGAGGGGATTATAATCATTGTAATGAAACAAGGTGTATGATTTGTTGAATGTAAAACTGATGATCTGCCCTGGAAACTTTAACTCAATTCACAATAAAACTTTAAATAAATAAATGTAAATTAAAAAATAGTATGTAATCGTTATCATATCTAATTACGACTGTCACAAATGTAAAGGTAGAAGTTTTGTAACAAAAATGGGGAGCAGTTAATCTTACAGTCCAGAAACAGAGGACCCTAGGACCAGCAAGGGAGAAGAACACAAGTACAATGTGGGACCCTATCCAGAGAAGCAGCGACACCAGAGATGGAGGCAGTGATGGGGACGTGGAGAAAGGGAGCAGCTGAGGATTCTAGACTCATGGAAAGAGAGGGACTGAGTGTTGGCAGCCAGCAGGCAGGCTTGCAGAATGTGCCCTTTGGTTGTTTAAATTATTATATATTCCTGAGTGTTTTTGTGTACATCTTCCCAGCCCCATCCCCCAAAAGCAAAAGAAAAACAGAGGGAATGGAAGCAATACTGTTGAATGATGATGCATGGAGGAGATTGTAATCATTGCAATGAAACGATGGTGTAAAACCAATGTTCTCCCATGCAAACTATCACTCAGTTCACAATTAAAAAAACAAACCAAGAGTAAATGTAAAAATATAGAACTTACCTCAATATTTTCTTCCCCAAATTTCTCTACAGCTCTCTCTTCAGAAAGGCCACAAGCACCATACTCCAAAGGTGTAAACACAGTTGTTGGAACATTTTCATAGTCACACTGTTTCAAAATAGGGAGAAAGGGTTATGCCAGGCCAAACTGTAACTCAAAAGGTGGAAATATTTCAAAAAGGTACAAAATTGGGAGGGGAAAACAAACTCAAAAACCTCTGCTGCAAACATGGAAAATTACAATCCCAGATCGTAACCTACCACTCTGACAACCATTAGATCACAGGAGAATTGAAGTCTGGTAAAGACAAATTATGAATAAATGTTTCATGTGGCTTCTCCACGCATCTACCAACTGATATTACCAACAGTGACAAACTTTTCCTTCCCTCAATAAAGCAGCCCCAAAACAATACTCACTGCTGGTAATCTTGTATTATCAGTGACAGAAACTAATAAACTTATTTGGGAAAAACATCAATTAGGTAGTACATACTAAAGGTCATAAAAACATTTTATACTTTCTGGCCCAAACAACCCACTTCTTAGGACTCTGTAATGAGAAAACAACACAACATATGGAGTCGAGGACTCCCACAGTAAGGTGTGACCGTGGTGTGGTGCGGTAAGGTAAGTGCTGGACCCATCAGTCACTACTCGGAAACCCTATGCAGGGTCCCTTTTGAGTCACAACAGATTCAACAATACACAACAACAGAACATATGGAGTACAGTGGCTCTGTAGAATAAGCATGGAACTACAGGATACAAGGAGAAAGATGAGGATTTCTGCTCTTGCAGATTGACAACCTTGGAAACCCTATGCAGAGTTGCTATGAGTCAGTACTGAATAGACACAACTTAACAACAGTGATAATCAACAGTGGAAACATAATATAATATGCTATGGAGTCCTGGTGTGACACCGCAGGATAACGCATTGGATCACAAGGTCGGTTTGAACCACAAGGTTGGCGGTTCAAACTCATTAGCCACTCCTCAGAAACCCTCTACAGGATTGCTATGAGTTGCAACCAACTTGATGGCACTTAACAGCATATGTAACAATCTGTCTCATTACAACAGCTATGTGGCTGTCAGGCATTGTGTGGTCAATTCTGACTCATAGTGACAATGTGAAAGGAGAACGGCCTCACAGAGTTTCTCCCTTGGAGCCGCTGGTAAGTCCACATTGCTGACCTGTCACCTGCTGACCTCGGTGCTTAACCACTGCACCACCAGGGCTCCTTAGTGATAATATTACACAGCCACTACAATGGTAATAAAGATCACAAAAACAAAAATTATCAATATTTGTGACAATATTATTCAAAGCATATTTTATGACGTTAATAGGTACAGATGACAAGAAGGACTCTGGAGTCAAATAATTTTGCAAAATGCAGGATTAACATATAAACAGGTTTCTCCACTCAGATTTCTCAGACCCTTTAACATGCTATAGTGAACTGTGAAAACTGTGTTACCTAATTGCTGTTTGGTAAGAGCCTAGTAGTTACATGGCTATAGAAGTGAGCCCAAGTAACAATCCGAATTTAAAATATGAGAAATGCAATTCTTCCTCTCTAAATAGTAAGTCAGTCATGGTGTGGCGCTATAGGGTAAAGCACTGGACCACAAGGTAAGTCTGAACCACAAGGTCAGCAATTCAACCTCACTTAGAAACCGTAACCAGGGTCGATACGCATTGGAACAACTTGACAGAACTTAACAACAACAACAAAACAGTAAGGTGAGGCGTTCAAATGGGCCTCCCTCTAGAAACAATATGTATCTTTTTTTTTTTTCTCAAAAAAAAAAAAAAATCCAACACATCAGCCCTAGGAATTTTCGGCTTCAAAAGTGAAAAACAGACATCTACTTACAGCCAAATGTCACCTAATCAAGGACCAGATTTACCTTCCTGCTTTCAACAGCTAGAAAGCCAGAGACAAGTGGACAGTGGGACAGGCGTAATGCAAACTACACTGAATAGGATTAATAGCACAACAGACACTGGAAAAGATAAGATCAGTGAACCTGAAGATAGAACAATATGAAACCCAGGAAGAGTGAGGAAAACCAAAGCCGAGGCCACAGCATCAGAGAGCAGTAACACAGTACCAAGCAATCCCACAGTCATGTAACTGAAGGCAAAAGAAACTGAATGGTTGGAAACAGTCTAAATTTGAGGGAAATAAACTGATTAGACAAACCTCAATAAACCACAGAAGAACAAATACAAAGAAAAACACATCAAAGCACACGATACCCAAGTTGCTAAAAAAAACAAAAACACAAAAAAACAAAAAACCCATCGATAACTCTAAAGAGCAGCTAAGAGGCAGGACATGCAAATTAAAACTCCAGAGTATCCACTAGACTGGCTAGAGACACAAAGGACTGATTATACTATTGTGTGTGATGCTGTAGCTAAGCACTAGACTGCGAACTACAAGGTGAGCAGCTCAAACCCACTAGCTGCTCTCGGAAGCCTTGTACAGGTTTGCTACGAGTCAGAATTGACTAAATGGCCCTTACCAACATACTCACCATTGACAAGGATGTGCAACAACTGGAATTCTGACACAATGCAGGCAGCAATGCAAAGTAACAGCACTTTGGAGAAAACTTTTGGTAGTTTAACACTGAAGTGACGTTGAGTCAGTTCTCACTGATAGTGACCTTGTGGTTAGCAGTCCAGTGCTTATCCTACAATACCACTCCAGGCAATTTCATGGCTACATGATTTGTCAAAATGCATCTAACTGTACCCTTAAGAAAACTGTACCCTAATAAGCCTGATTTTAAAACAAATCATCAGACACTTGAAAATTTTACTGGCTATAAATTATACCTCCATCAAATGTATTTTAAATATACACATGTGGGTTCATAGACAATTAGAACCCCAATGCGGATTAGCCTCGAAGATGATCATCAGATACAAATGCAAGAATAAAAACACGATTCCACATCATTCAGTCTAGCTTTTAAAAAAGCACTTCTATTTCTAGTAACTCTTAAAAAAATGTATCTCCAGGGTCCCCAAGTTCTGTTTCCAGTTGGCTTAAATGGACTGCTGAGGTCTAGTGTGGAAAATGAAATCAACATTTAAAACCTGTACGGAGAAAACTTTCCAAATTTCACAACAGTCAACCCAATGAGCTTTTTGAATACAACTCATTCTGAAGTTAAAGATACCTGTACTGTGGTTTTTCTCTAGCATCCACATATTTATACTTAGTATAAAGTTAACTTATCCTACTTAAGGTAACAAGAGAGATGCTAATGTTTACTAATTGTAAATATTAACAAAGGTATTTCATGTATTTGAGATGTGATAGTGCTCCTTCTGCTTAGTGTCCAGCACTGGTGGGCTCTAAGGCTGCTATGTGTGGGACAATTCGGCCTTTGAGAGAGCTTGGCAGAAGGACTGTCACCAACGGCCTGACTCAGCTTGATGGTCTGCTCTCGTCAGTGTTTCTGAAATGATAAGGACACTTTTTTTTCATTCCTCACGTATGTTCCCAAAATAACAATAAACTCTTCTGCTTAGTGGAAAAGACTTTTTTAAAAGCAACTTTGAGACGGACATTCATCATCACCAAAATTAATATTTTTCTGATACATGTTTCATCTCATTTAAGAAAATCATAAATTACAGTAGTCATTGCAAATTGGTGGACTCTTAGGAGTCTTGAGACATTTTCCAGCCTTATCACCTATTCTTTTATAATCTATATTTCCCAAACCTTCCTTTTCTCTTAGGTAGTAACTTACTACAGTTACGAGAACAGCACCTACAATCAATTCACATCACATCACCCTGACAGCCTCCTAGCTTTGTGCCCTTGGACCAGTTACCTAATTGTGGTCCATCTCCACGAAGTGTCCTGAGAGCTGAATGAGATAATGTTCATGGAAAGGCCTTCCAAGAATTCGTGGGAAGGTTCCAGTCATTGAATTCTACTGTTCCTTGAAACTTTTAAAAACCTCTCATTTCAGGCACTTAAGCACAGAACAATAAGAAGCCAAGAGCTGCCCTTTGTCTTCTTTTCTCCCTAAAAGTACTGCTGTAAAACAGTGAAAAAAAAGTTGATTCCATTCTCAAGGAAGGCACATATACTCCTGATTCTACCTGAGTTGGCATTAAGATCCCACCACTGATTTACCTTAGCCAGATACTTGTTGTTGTTAAGTGCCACTGAGTTGGTTCCGACCCACAGCGACCCTGTATAGGGTTTCCGAGGACTGGCTGGTGAGCTTGAACCACCGACCTTGCAGTTCAAGTGGCTTTGCACAGTCTAGCGCATTAACCCACAGCGCCACACCAGGACTCCAGCCAGGTACTTAGTTGGGCTAAAGTGTACCATGGAGAATGACTCTGACTTCGTTAGAGGCAGGAAGTGCTCACCAGCTTAGAAACGTGAACATTTTCATTAACCATGGTGGCCAAAATTAAAGGGATTATGCAGTTTCGATTAACAGTTAAATGTAATCTCTCCAAATATTAATTAAGCTAGATATCAACTGATGTGTCACTTTATATACTACACTAAAAGGGAGACCAGTGAGATATTTCAAATGCAAGAACTTGTCTATGCCATATTATTAACTAGACTAAAAATAAGGAAAAAAAGCAAACAAGCAAATACTTTAAATTTCAATTTACATTTAATTCTGATGCTGACAAAAGCCTAAGGCATTTCAAGAAAAGAATCCACTCTACCTGGCAACTGTTAGCATAGTGTACTATGCCCACACACAAAGAGCTACATCAAAGTCCGTGAAAAGATCCAATACATTCTTTCCTTCAGGAATGTTGTGCTACAATTTCAAGAATATGTAGGTGCAACCTTTTGCATGTTTACTCTTTATTGTTAGTGTATTAAAATTTTCTCTTTCTATTTCAAAAAACCACAAAGATATAAAGTCAAGAACAAATTAAATGTCATATCAAACTATATAAGGGGGCTTTAAAAAGTTCATTTAAAAGTGCAGTTAAAAGACAATGGGATTTTTCTATTGTTTTTTGAAATTCCCTCATATTTCTAAATGCCTATCCTTGGCTGAGCCCTGGTGTGGCGCTGTAGGATAAGTAATGGAAGCCCTACATAGGATTGTTAGGAGTCAGAACTGGCTCACGGGCACTCAACACTAACAACAACATCCTTGGCTTTCCAAAGATGGTAACAATGAATACAAGACGCAACTTGCTCAAAGAAATAAGTCCTGTTAGATATATTCTAAATAGTAATATGAACGAACTGTTATTTCATTATGCTTAATCCAAACTGATCTAGGTACAACTTAATTCAAAATGCTTATCATAAATCAACTCACTATGATTTATGCAAAAGGAAAACAAAATTCCTTTAAATTGTTTTCAGAATCTTCCTAAGAAAATAGAGTGGTGTGGCACTGTACGATCAGCACTGCACTGAGAACCACAGGGTCGGCAGTCCAAACCCACCAGCTGCTCCTGGAAAACCCTATATAAAGTCGCTGTAAGTTGGAACCAACTCAACACAACTAAACAAGTTCCATGAAACATATCAAAAAGTTTCAATTTCCTAGCATTAGTGTAACACCTTCAACCTTCTAAGAGTGGAAGAAATTCTTTTTCGGAAGACAGAACAAAGCTCTGCGTAGTAATACCATTACCTGTATCATGGATTCTTGTATGGCCTAGATAGGAGACTTTAAAGAATATATGGAACATATAATGCTGAAATTTGATTAACCAAGTTGTTTTTTTCTCAGTGTGGTACCAAACATGACAATTTCCATAATAAAGTCACAACATACTACAATATTAGTATCATGTTTGAATACAGCTAATAAAGCACATCTAGGGTCTGTCAGTTCAACGTACTGTGGTGGCTTATGAGTTGCTGTGATTCTGAAAGCTATGTCACTGGTATTTTAAATACCAGCAGGGTCACCCATGGTGGACAGGTTTCAGATTAGCTTCCAGATGAAGACAGACTAGGAAGAAGGAGTGACGAGCTTTTTCCGAATATTTAGTCAATAAAACCCTTATGAAGAGCAAAGAAACACTGTCAGATATAGTGCCAGAAAATGAGTCCCTCAGGTTGGAAGGCACTCAAAATAAAACTGGGAAAGAGCTGCTTCCTCAAAGTAGAACTGACCGTGATGACGTCGAATGGAGAAAGGCCCGTGGAAGAAAACCTTCACTTATTGATGGGGCACAATTCAAAATGAAGAGAACAGCTGTAAATATCCATTGAAATCAGAACTTGGAATGTACGAAGTTATGAATCTGGGAAAATTGGAAATTGTCAAAAATGAAATGGAACGCACAAACTTCTCTATCTTAGGCATTAGTGAGCTGAAATGGACTGGTATTGGCCATTTTGAATCTGACAACCACATGGTTTACTATGCTGGGAATGACAAATTGAAG